AATCATTATAATTAACACTAAATTATCATTATATTATATACAATCATTATAATTAACACTAAATTATCATTATACTATATACAATCATTATAATTAACACTAAATTATCATTATACTATATACAATCATTATAATTAACACTAAATTATCATTATACTATATACAATCATTATAATTAACACTAAATTATCATTATACTATATACAATCATTATAATTAACACTAAATTATCATTATACTATATACAATCATTATAATTAACACTAAATTATCATTATACTATATACAATCATTATAATTAACACTAAATTATCATTATACTATATACAATCATTATAATTAACACTAAATTATCATTATACTATATACAATCATTATAATTAACACTAAATTATCATTATACTATATACAATCATTATAATTAACACTAAATTATCATTATACTATATACAATCATTATAATTAACACTAAATTATCATTATACTATATACAATCATTATAATTAACACTAAATTATCATTATACTATATACAATCATTATAATTAACACTAAATTATCATTATACTATATACAATCATTATAATTAACACTAAATTATCATTATACTATATACAATCATTATAATTAACACTAAATTATCATTATACTATATACAATCATTATAATTAACACCAAATTATCATTGCACTATACATAATCATTATAATTATCATTATAATATAATCATTATATTACGTTTATTACGGTAAATCCGCGATCGTTATGATCAATCATCTGATAACGATTTTTAAGTGCTTTCATTCGTGAGAGAAAGTCGATGATTAACAATATAACTGACAAACTGTAATTCGATTTGAAAGGTTGACGCCGACAACGGTAATTCGTGCTTGGGACAAGAAGGGATCAGCATCAGTGAGTGTGATTTGGCTGTAAATGTAAAAGAATTGAAATGGTTTTTTTAGAAGTTTTTAATAATTGTTTATCGTTCCGTTAGCTGAGCTTCCACAATTGTTCAGCGACCAATCCGATGAAGCAATTAGAAGACGCGGTTGTCTCGAAGCTTGCTATTTCCAGAAACTTGGACTGGTTTGTATTTATTATAATTATATTAATATATTATTATTATTATTAATATATTATTATAATTATATTAATATATTATTATTATTATTGTAGAATCAAGCTCTAATCGGATGACTATATTATATTTTTCTCAATTTTGTCGCTGACATTTATTTACTTAACTTAATCAAGACGAGAATCAATGTTATTAAAATAACAATTATTTACTTAACTTAATCAAGATGAATAGATGTTAGTGAAATAACAATTATTTATTTAACTTAATCAATGTTAACTTGATCAAGACGAATAAATATTAGTAAAATAAAACGAACCCTTCCGGAGACATTGGCGGGGTCAATTTCGACCGAAGATTGCACAAGCGTGCAACCATAATTGCCATTTGTCGTCGGCTACGGAATCTAACGTACTTTTAATCGCGAATGGGTCAAGATCGACAGGCCGGAATTCGAAATGATGCGATTCGTTCCAGATGAACGATAACGTCATCAACATGGACGAGATCAACAATCAGATTGACAAGGTCGCGAGCAACACCGGCAACGCGGAGAAAATACGGGAGGTTACAACTCAGTGCGCCAATGACGGTGGGTGAATTATAAATGAAAAAGAAAAAAATACTATTAGAATATACATTTTATGATCGCGCTTCGAACGTCTGTTTTCTTTTTTTTTGTTAAGCCGCCGGCGATGATCGGTGCACGGTGGCCCAGAAGTTCGCGCAATGTGGACTCGAACAGTTGCAAATTAGCATCCGCAGCATGATGCAACAAATCGCCTAACGAGTGTCCAGCCATTGCCACGGTAATCTTAATTCTAACGGAAGATATGTTGTTGCTACAATAAAATGGAATTATTAAGTGAATTATATGAATTAAAATGGATTAAATGGATTAAGTGAATTAACTGAATTAACTGAATTAACTGAATTAATTGAATCAATTGAATTAACTGAGTTAACTGAATTAATTCAATCAATTGAATCACTTGAATCAATTGAATTAACTAAGTTAACTGAATTAACTGAATCAATTGAATCACTTGAATCAATTGAATGAACTGAGTTAACTGAATTAATTCAATCAATTGAATCACTTGAATCAACTGAATTAACTGAATCAATTGAATTAACTAAGTTAACTGAATAAATTGAATCAATTGAATCAATTGAGTCGACTAAATCAATTGGATTGAAATAAATAATTTGATCCTCGCTACCTTATCGTGTACAGAATAAAACGTTGTTTATTGCAATGATTCAGAAAATTGGACAATCGTTTTTTAACTTTGGCATAACTTTGACATAACTTTGGCATAACACTGACATAATAACTTTGACATAACTTCGACATAACTTTGGCATAACCTTGACATAACAACTTCGGCATAACTTTTGGCATAACTTTGACATAACTTTGGCATAACCCTGACATAATAACTTTGGCATAACTTCGACATAATTTTGGCATAACCTTGACATAACAACTTCGGCATAACTTTTGGCATAACTTTGACATAACTTTGACATGCAGGTCTCCAATTGCAGGAGATGACGATTGGAAACTTCCAAATTGGACGATCGATCGAAATCTTCGTTTTACTATGTTGAACAATCGATAGGTCGATCCGTCTAGTCCGCGACGGATTCGCATAATTCGTGCCGTGTCGGACAAAAGGTTCAGCCGTTTTGACGACGCTCGTTTGCATTGAGTGGCTTTATCCGACGCGGTTAAAGCCGCGCGCGCACCCACAATCTGCATTTGACTTTGTAATTTCATTTATGTCGGGCCGTGTATCCTGTCCAACTCTCCGGAAACCGAGGAGCTCCGTCCGATCCCCGATATCGGCGGCCGTTTGCCGTCTCGGTTGCAATTCGAATCGCCGTGATCGTCGTCCTCGATCACCAGAACTTCCAAACTAAAGTTACCAACCCCCCGCAAACCCCGCCCCCATCCACCGAAATTTCAACTTCAAATTTGTCTCAACGTCAACGAACAGGACGGCTTTAATGCCAAATGATTTGTGCAAAAATTATGTCAGGGTTATGCCAAAGTTATGCCAAAGTTGTTATGTCAGAGTTATGCCAAAGTTATGCCAAGCTTGTGTCAAAGTTATGCCAATGTTATGCCAAAGTTATGCCAAGCTTATGTCAAAGTTATGCCAAAGTTATTCTGGCAGAGTTATGTCAGAGTTATGCCAAAGTTATGCCAAGCTTATGTCAAACTTATGTGAAAGTTATGCCAAGCTTATGTCAAAGTTATGCCAAAGTTATTCTGGCAGAGTTATGTCAGAGTTATGCCAAAGTTATGCCAAAGTTGTTATGTCAGAGTTATGCCAAGCTTATGTCAGAGTTATGCCAAAGTTATTATGGCAGAGTTATGTCAGAGTTATGCCAAAGTTATGCCAAGCTTATGTCAAACTTATGTCAAAGTTATGCCAAGCTTATGCCAAAGTTATGCCAAAGTTGTTATGTCAGAGTTATGCCAAAGTTATGCCAAGCTTATGTCAAAGTTATGCCAAAGTTATTATGGCAGGGTTATGCCAAAGTTATGCCAAAGTTATGTCAAAGTTACGTCAAGGTTATGTGGCCGTCAAGATGGCCGGTCCGGCGAATGGGTGCCGCGGTAATGTCCTCTGAGAGTTCCCGTGCCCTCCTCCCCCCCTGAATCGCCAGATGAGAACAGAACAATTGCTGTGTCGTCGTGAAATCGCGGCTTCTGAAATGATTTCTTCCGACGGAAATATGTGAGTCACACTGTTCCGGACTCTTTGACGAGCTCGACCTCGTTTCTTGATTTTCGAGCGACGCGACGTGCTGGATAAATTAGGGAGAAGAGAGACGATTATTCAATTCTTGCGGTTCATTTTTATAGTCACGAATTGTCAACAACTATAAAAACGAGCCTCGAGGCGCGAATAATCGTATCTCCTCTTCCCAAATCGTCCATTTTTCTGCGCGATCTGAGCGTCAGTAAGGGAGACATTGCCGTGCAGTAAGTTCTCCCTAATTGACGCTAAGTTTGGGAACAAAAATGGAGAATCTGGGAAGAGAAAGCACGATTGTTCGAGCGTTGCACCTCGTTTTTATAATTGTTGACAATCGGCAACTATAAAAGCGAGGCGCGAAGCGCAAATAACCGTATCTTTTCTTCCGAAATTGTCCATTTTTCTGCGCAATCCGAGCGTCAGTTAGGGAGACATTACCGTAAATCGCAGGATCGAATCGCGGTCGATGTCGAGAGGAAACACATTCGGCCGCGACGAATGGAAGCGTAGGCATAATTACAGGGAAGGAACACTTGCGACAGAATCATTGTGCCGCCGTGCTCGCATAAGTATGCGCCGCGGCGCGGTGGCGCGGCCGCGCGCGTGTAAACCCGATTACAAAGCGAGCTATCGCTTTCCAGCCGGTATTCTTGCGATACGCGTTTCCTCCGCGACTCCGCATACTATTATACATACGTGTAGACGCGCGCACATGTTCCGAAGCCTTTATAGAGCCAGACAACTCGATTCGATTATTGTAACAGAGTTATCCGTCGCTTGCCGCGGGACGCGAGCTTAAACGTTAACGTCGCGGCGGGGCCTAAACTGATTTTCAGCTTATTTGCGCGCCCCGAAAAACGTGTCCTTAAGCAACTGTCGCGCTGCCAGATAGACCGGCGTCGCGGAAAATTTCGCGGAACGTTTCTTTCGTGCGATTTCTCGGAGAAGATCGCCGCGGCGCGCGGCGCTGCCGGAGCCAAATGTGCGCCGAATGCCGGCGAAAAGGATATTTCCGTGGAAAACGTCTTCGACGAAAAGTTGATTCGCGCGCGGAGCTCGTTGGGAACGCGGGCCACGATTTGGCACGAATTTAAGCGCCCGTTTCTCGAAACGGTTCGCCGTCGCTGTTCCGGAGGGAAGCCGTTTCGAGATAAAATCGTCCTTCGTAATCGTGTTCGAAGGATTTCGAAGCACGCCGTCGCGTTGTTTTCGGCCGATTAAAATCATCGAGGCACCGGACAGACGTTCGCGCGGCATTGTTCGATACAGCGACGCGAATCGAACCGTTTCCGGAAATGCGGTTAATATAACTCTGCGGTGCGTGTCCCCGATCGGAATAGCATCGGATACTAAACCGCGAAGGCCGTAGAGTGAACCCGTCGGTATTCCGGAATTTCGCGATCAAATTAGCATCCGTCGAATTCCTTCGCGAACCCGGTAAGTTATGAGATCCGGGGACGAAAGGTGCTTTCTATTAAAGCGCATTCTGCGCCGATCGACGTGCACGAGATAGCTACGCGACGCTGAATAATTCGTGAATTATCGGATATTGCGGCGTCGCTGTATTGTATATTCGTTATTCGAACACGTTCGCCGATTTAGAAGCTCGAGCTTTTTTATTAGACGCGGGGGAATTCGATGAATGTTTATCGTTACGCGCCACTTTATCGCGATTCGAGGTTATTTTTACTTATTTTTATTTTTATCTATTTGTTTAATTTGATTTATTTCTCTATTTTTATTTATTTTTATTTTTATTTATTTTTCTATTTTTATTTATTTGCTTGATTTTATTTATTTCTCTATTCTTTTCTCTATTCTTTTTCTCTGTTCAATTTTACTTATTTCTCTATTTTTATTTATTTGTTTAATTTTATTTATATCTTTATTTTTATTGAATGAAAACTAATAAAACAAGATTAAATCGAAGTAAAGTTATATTAAATTGAATTAAAAATAAATGTGTTGTAGAACTAAATATTTGTAATATAATAATTTGTAATATACGACATGATGTGACATAATTTGATAATAATTATAATTATAATATTATATATAATTATAAAATATAATGTATATATAATATATTACATATCAATATATATTAATAGTAATATATATATATATATATATCTTTCTATTTTAAAATCTGATTATTATTTCAATATTATTATTTAATTTTATTTGATATATATATATTACAACTCCAGTAGAAAAAGAATTCAAGTCCTAAACTTGAAACCATATTTTTCATACAAAAACGCAAAAATTCTCCCCCCTCCCCCTCCCTGAAAGTGTCCACGCGGGGTTAGCGTCCTTGAGAAAATATCATCCGAATATTTCCGATGCATTATTGAATTCCTCGAAAGAGTCTATAGGCGGCCTGTTACGCGGTCGACGCTGCGCGCGATGCAACGGCGGCGCTGCGTGCACGGGTGCATGTACGTACATGGATTTCAGGCGCAGGCAAGCCGATGCACCGCAATTGTGGGACGCGGCCGCGCCGGGTTGCGCCGTACGCGGCTTACGTGATACGGGACGACGGCGTGCAACAGAGGTATTTCGCCTGCACACTCGCTGCCCTATACATTATGCATATATTACGCCCGGTCCCGCGTACGTATGTGTGTACACGACGCTCCCGTGCATACGCGGCCATGATCTACAGGGTGTACCAGGTGTCGTGCTGCATTATTTACAATGGGAGCGAGCGGCGGTACAAGCGGCGGCGCGGTAATGAACTGGAAATAAGAACGACTGCGCCGGGGATTGCGTGCCCTCGGTTCAAGCCCCGCGGCGTTTATTACAATTTCCCTTCGTTTCCCCCCCCACTCCTGCCCCTTCCAGAAGTTGCTCGGCTTCCCCCACTCCGGCAACTTTTTAGACAGGCGCGCAGTCGTCGAGGAACCCGAAATCGTGGCCGGTTCGACCCGGGAAAGTCGAACTCGTCGCTGGGCTGTTTTTAACGTCGCGGATTCGCTGATTTTTTTTTTAACACCCTTTGCACCCTTTGCACCCTTTGCGTCTCTCAGACGTGATAATTTCTGGCCTAAATCTTGACCACGTCTCTCAGACGTGATAATTTGTAGCCCAAATCTTCACTACATCTCTCAGACGTGATAATTTCTAAGCCTAAGTCTTGACC